TCTCCTCTGTCCTTGCCTTTTACTTTCTTGGGAGACTGATGGAGGAAAAGTTCTAATCCAAGCGGGAAGGAATTGAAGAAAGTTTAGTTTTGGTGGGATTATCATTCCCGCTTTCCCTTTTTCCACTAGGATGAGAGTTGTTTTGTTAAAGGATTCTTTATCTCAAACTGGAAGAGGCATATGGTATAGGGTTTAGGCTGAAGATGAGCAATCTCTACCTGAAAAATTTGGGAGAGATTATTCTGGGGCATTTGAGAGAAGCTGAGATAGATGTGCTTTTTCAGTAAATATGATTTCCCCATACATTTTATTTTGTAACATATTAGGGGCACATAAGAGGATATGCAGAGTGGCACTGATTACTGTACAATCAAGGTGCCCGTGGAGTCCCTAGTGGCCCAGAACACAGTGTGGGTGCTTTTCCACTTATATTCCTACTTATGGTTTATTGGTCATTTGAGCCCATAGAATATACATGGGTAAACGTAAAGTCAATGTGCCTACTTGTATGCAGTGCTGTCCTAACCAATGTAGGTTATGTTTAAACCGCCAAATGGTTATCTCAGTAGATATGGGTTGGTCATACCAATTGTAACTTCAGTTTTCTGGATGATTAGCATGGGTCTGTCATGGTAGGAACACTTACCATGCCAGAAGAGGGGTTTCATTGCAGCTTTTGAAGGGTTTGATTGAGGCCCTGTCTGACAATGGCAATAGGCCATTTTGTGCAGCTGGAAATGAGAAGAGACTCATTACCATGGACTGGAATGTTCTGGAAACAACAGAGAGTGTTTCCAGCCTTGGGTGAATTACTGCCCTATTCTGGTCTGTTCACATCTGCAAGTATAAACGATATGTGGGTGTTTGATCTAAATGAGCACTGTTGGCCTAAGTACAAATACTCTGTCCCTTAATAGTATCTTTAGTTGCCAAAATTATGACTATTTCAGAATTGCTGTTACTAAAGCAATTTTGATTGTGCAAGGAGTGGAAGGAGGGTCTTTGATGAAATGAACTCTTTTACACGGCCCGCTTTCCCTCAGATCTTTAACAGAGTAACTCAGCAGTTTCAACCATTACTTCCCGCCAACGCTTTGTAACTCAAATGACCATGTCTTTCTGTTGGCGGTGCTCCAGAGGCTGCCGTGTCCTCTTGTACATTCTCACTCAGTGGGGAGGAGGTTGGAGGGCTGTTTCTCCAGGCTCTCCTCTCTCATAAAAGGTAATTGAAGGTCATTACACTATGAAAGCTCACGATGATTTTCAGTGGAGACAAAGACAGAATAGGCAAGCCCCATACCCAGTTCCTCGATGGACATTTTATCACTGTTTAAAAATAAACCATTCCTGTGGGCAGTTTGGAGGAGTTGCCCTCTTTCATGCTTACCCATTAAAAGGTTCCAGAATTGAAAACTGAGAGTTCTACTAATTATGAAGAAATGAGTTAATGTATCCTTGAAATTTAAACTCATTGGAGTTATCTAGCAGAAACATTGTACTAACTTACCATGAATATGTTGTCTTGCATTAACTCAAATTTCTTTAAGAAAAAAATCTCCCCCTTCTGTAGATACTGTTCTTCTTCAAAAATGAAAACCAGAGATTCTCCTCTCTGAAAGCTAACCTGAGACACCCACCCCCTTCTTCAATGTGTGTTTCTAGCAGGAAATCTGAAGTCATGGATACTCTGATTTAAATTCCTCTCAAGAATCTGAGTAAATGAGTGATCGTGACCAGAATCCTGTATACGGAGAGGAAGTTCATAGTCTGCACTTTATGATGAATTTCTCTTGTTCTGTAACACTAGCTTGCTTTCTAAGTTGTGTTCTCCTTCTTCAGACAGTCAAGGGGATGTTGGACAATCCTAATGAACCTGTTAGTGACCTCTCTTACTTTGACTGCATTGAGAGTGTGATGGAAAACTCCAAGGTAAGCCTGTCTATGCTCTTCACGTCACTCCTCAGTGTGGGGAAAAATTGAGATGTGCTTTGTGGGCATCCGCCACTCTGTATAGCTGCATGTATTATAAAGCCTTGTGGTGGATCCCTCTGCTCAGGTGCTGTTCAAACTTGACCATGCATCAGAATCACCTCGGGGACTTGTTAAGCACAGATCGATGAGCCCCACCCCTGAGTTTCTGATTCAGTAGATCTGAGGGGGGATTGAGATTGTGTATTTTTGACAAGTTCCTAGGTCCTGCCCATGTGGTCCAGGAGCCACACTTTGAGAACCACTGCTTATGCCGTATCATGGATGGCTCCAATTATGTATTTTGTGAATCAACTTATATATTTTCTTCACTTGGGATTGAACTGCTGGGGAAAGCCTTTCAGTGACCTTGGCTTATATGAGACTCTCTTGTGTCTTCTCTTTACCATCATCCATGGCGTGCATTCTCAAAGGGAGTGAAAAATTGTTGGGTAGGGGGGTGGAAAAATCTAAGATAATATAATGGTTTGTGCCCTCCCATCTTAAGCTTACTTAACAAAATCTGATTTCTTAGTATTGAATTTCAAATGAGTGGCAATTACTGGGAAAATATTATAAAAATATTTTTTAGTGGAGCAGTAATAAATTTTTAGAAGGTTGAGAAATACTGACCTATGATGATGATATCAGTGTTTTTGAGAATGCCTCAAAATCAGGTTAAAATGAAATGCAAGTGAGATGAATGGATATTGAGCAGTTGCAGTCTGGCTGTGTACTTGGAATGCACGTGTATTTTTGTTTATGTCACTTTACACTAGCTTTAAGGTGACATCTGTGTTGGTGATGTCAGGAGGGCCCATTTTGCACTGGGTAAAGACTAGAGTTTGCTCTGTCCATCATCCTTTATGAATTATCTGAGGGGAGAATGCATACATTTTACCTACTTATAGCCAAAGAAGGATGCAGGATTAGGGAGAGGAAAATACTACACGTAAAAATACCCTCTAACTTCTTTGCTCTGCAGGTCCTCATGTAAGCTAGATTACTTGGTATATCCAAGCAATTGTAGGAATTTTTCCCCCCGTCCAAGATAGCCTATTGCCAGCTGAAGAACTCTGCTTTGGGTTCTAGACTTAGCAATCCCATATTCTCTTCGAAGGGTTGTGGTGAACAGCCTTCAGTTCTGCCATCTGTGACCCTAGGAGGTGGAAACCTGCCCTCGTGGGGCTTTATGAGACCCATAGAAGACAGAATAGATAAGGGGCTGGCACCTCGCCTCTGCTCACGACTTTCCCTGTGAACTTGCACAGAGCGCTTGACCTCTCAGTTGGATTTTGAATACTAAAATTCCTTTTAGCTGTTATTTTAAAGACCTCTGAAGAAAGAATATACCAATTTTCAAAATAAAGGGAACTACTTACAAAAGTTGGGAAATATCTTTTTAGTGTTTAGATTATCTATTTATATATATGAATGTGTGTATGCACACCCACACACTTAAAGACATTTAAATTTTGCTGTCAGTAAGTAAAGGAATAATACCAAGAGGAATGTATCTTCTGCTTTCTGGATATGACTTCATCTACCATGACTAAGTGAATGTGTCCAGTTTTTTTTTTTATTTTGGGAACTAACAGTTCTCAGTTGAGACCATTCACCCATGGGATGCCCTGTATGGATTATACTTTACTGATCTGAGTATATTAACTGTATATCCTTGAAATATAGAAAAACTATAAACCTTTCACTCCTTTTGAGTGAATGGAATTATGAATTATCTGAGGGGAGAATGCATACATTTCACTCCTTTTGAGTGAAAGGTTTATAGTTTTATTATTCATTTCTGTTTATGAAACAGAAATAATATAACTCTTTGAATCTCTTCTTAATGCAAATAAAGGAAAATAATGGCAAATATTGTAAATTAAGTGGCCTTGAATGTTAAATTGTAAATGCAGCCCCTTTGCCCCATGGTTTGAAGGAATGTTGGTCAGAGAATATTGCTGATTGGTTGTTTTGCAGGTTCTGGGTGAGTCGATGGCAGGGATTTCTCAGAATGCCAAGACCGGGGACCTTCCTGCCTTTGGGGAGTGTGTGGGAATTGCATCCAAGGCTCTCTGTGGGCTGACAGAGGCGGCAGCTCAGGTAAGGGATTGGTTAGTCCCCTTGCCTTGTGATATAGCCTGTGTCCTGTGCCAGATTGTGGGTACTAAGAGTACCAGACCCCTATGGGAGGCCTGGGGAAGCTCCAGCTTCAGCTCCTTATTCAACTACTACCACAGAAACCATGAAAAAGGCAGCGGCTCCTGTGCTGGCTGGGGCATTTAGACAAAACATCAGCCAGTTACCCACCAGGAGCAGGGCAGCCTGAGAAGGACAATGAGACACTGAACACTGCAGACCCAGCATAAGGATTCAAAGGCCAGTTTGCTTTTTTTCTTAGGTCCTTGTTACAGATGAGTTTTGTGGGGGCAGGGGAATAGGCATTACATAATTCAAATTCCCTCTGAGGTTTTAGAATTGCAAAAATCTTAGTCAAGGTCTTTTTAGCATCAGAAGGAGAAAAATATGAGATGCCATCATGCAGAAACATGATCGGACGTGTCCCTTGCTCTTCTTCAACTGTCCTGTGTATTTCCAATAATTATTGGGCTCATGTGACTGAAGCCTCAAAAATGTCAACATTTACCTTAAAGGATTTATCATTTGAAAATTAATTTGAGCCTAGAAGATTTTATTAAACCAAAGAAAAACACCCCCAGTTTGGGAGATGACGTTATCTACCCTCATCCTACCCCCCAGATCTCAGGGGAAATGAATTAAGGTTAAAATTCCTACTCACAGATTCATTTTCTCCCTGTTATTTGGCTAACATATCCAGGGGTGTTAAAGAGAAGACCTCTTGTAGACTGTCGTCCTCTTAGAGACCAAGTACTGCATTTTTTTTTTCCTGAGCCATCTTAGTCATTCCTCTTACTTATTATTGGAAATATTGATCTAACCAATAAGGATATGTTAGTCTATGAGATGAGAGATGCTCACAGGGCATGCTCCAGGGCTGGCTGACCCAGCAGCTCCATGCCATCAGTCAGCATCCACTTTTTTCTGCCTCGCCCATCCGCCAACCAGAGAGTCAGCTTCATGCTGAGACTGGTTCCCTCATAGTCATAAAATGTCCACCAGAAGCAATCAAGGGGGCATCTGTCCTTGTTCCTGCCCCACAGAAGAGCTTCTTGAGGCTTTCTTAAGAACAAGGAGACTTCATTCCCAGAGGCCTGCAGCATATTGTCCCTGGCCTGAGCTGGCATTCACAGTCCATCCCTTAACCCTTATTGATGAGATTACTCTGACCAGCTTGCACTAAGAGCCCCTAAGCATGGCTGCTGCATGTATCATTTTCCCCCATGGGCTCATCTAGGATCACAGAGCTTGAGCTGTGGTTTTCCTCCTCCCTTTCCAGGCTGCATACCTCGTCGGCATCTCTGATCCAAACAGCCAGGCAGGCCACCAAGGCCTTGTGGATCCCATCCAGTTTGCCAGGGCTAACCAGGCTATACAGATGGCATGCCAGAACTTGGTGGACCCTGACAGCAGCCCATCACAGGTAACCACGGGGCGAGGATATGAGATCTGCGAGTCCTTAAGCTCTTGTAAGTGGGTTATGGAAGAGTGGGAGAAATTAGTAAAGAATACTATTTTTACAGAGCTTACAAGGCCAGCTAAATATGCAGCATTGTAGATAATGACTTGGGGTGGAGGCGATATTACAAAATGTGGTGAAAGTGGAAATATGTAGGTGCTTTGAAATGAGATGCTGAAAGGCTGTAGGAGTAAAGTAATCACCATGAGATTCATCAAGAGTTTCATGATTCCATTCAGTTCAGGGGACATACGTGGAGGGCTTGTTCTGTGCTCAGTACTAAGGGTCACCATGAGTGTGACCTGATTTCCTGCACCCTTGGCTCTTAGTCTGTTGGAAGTTTGGAAGATACAATGATTGGGCTATGATGACAATACCAGGGATGCACAGAGGAAGGTGTGATGAAGTTTCTGAAGGTCACTTGACAGAGATGGGTCCAGCCAGGCCTCAAAACTGATTCATAATCAGCAGTGTATAAAGGAGCCACAGATATTTTAGGACTAGACAGTATGTGATATTTCATGACACTTCTAATACTCGAGTGGCATGGAGTCCCATTCACTTATTAAAGCAATGTGTGTTGAAAGGAATAAGAACTGGCCTACATGGGTTAGAAGAGGCAGCCTGTGAGTGGTACATCTGTTGTAAATTCTAGGACTGGCATTCTTGAGGCAGGAGAAGGACTCAAGTAAAGGAGACAGTACAAGGATGATCTGGACCTAAAGCAGACCTTAGGTCTCTCTTGTAAGGTGTCAGTGCACTTGAGATTCCTTACCTGTCCAAGTTAAGGCCATTGGGATTTTACCAGCCTTAGCAAAGTAGATCTGGTGGATTCAGGAGAGCTGTTTGGTGTGTGGGGTAGAGCTTAGAAGATTCTTGAGCCAGACTCCTTAATAAGATGCCTATAGCCCACTATGGATGAGGCAGGAACGGTCACACTTTGATGTTTATTTCACTCATCTAGACCTGGACTCTCCATTGTGGTAGCCACTACCTGCATGTGGCTATTAAGCACTTGAAATGTAGCTCATCCAAATTGCAATAGGCTGTAAGCGTAAAATACATACTAGATTTTGAAGACTTTCCATGATAAGAAAAAAATGTAAAACATCTCATTAATAACATTATTAAATTGATTACATAGTGAAATGAAATATTTTGGATATATCAAGTTTAATAAAATATATTATTTAAATTAATTTCTCTTGTTTCTGTACTTATTTTAATGTGGCTGCTAGGAAATGACATGTGGCTCACACTGTATTTCTGTTGGGCAGTGCTGGCCTACACCCTGGACCAAATACTTCCTTACCGGGGGTTGCAAAGGATAACTGACTGCATCTCCTTTAAGACTGTCTGGAGCCCAGCCCACTTCCACCATTACATCAGCACCTCCTTTCCTTTCCTTTGTTTATTCTCTCTTGCTTACTAATTCTTGCCCTCTCCTTTCTTGGAGAGACTTCAGGGGTAGCAGAGCTAGACGCATGTTGTAATTACATGGGCCCTGAACATGTGAGTTGAAGAGGAATCCAGGGCTGGGGACCAGGGTGGACTCCTCTAAGCTGGAATCCTCTGCACTGAAGTGTGGGGTGCCCCCAACCCAGCTCCATGCCTTATAGGTTTTGTCAGCCGCCACGATTGTCGCTAAGCATACCTCGGCCTTGTGCAATGCCTGCCGCATCGCCTCATCCAAGACGGCTAACCCCGTGGCCAAGAGGCACTTTGTCCAGTCAGCCAAGGAAGTCGCCAACAGCACGGCCAACCTGGTGAAGACCATCAAGGTAGGTGTCTGACCTGAGGCCTTGGTAACCCCTGTTAATACCTATCGCAGAGGGGAAAGGATAGAATTTAAGCGCTGCTCTCTTAAGACTTATGTCTAGTGAAGTTTAACTTCTAATTAGGTCTCATGACTAAAGTCACTGAGAAGGAGCCTTTTACCAATGGAGATATTTATCATGAAAAACTAACAGCCTTAGTCTCTACTAACCTTCTAGATAGTGAGAGGGACTCCCCAAATTCTGTCTGTGAGAACCTTAGGGGCAGAAATCTGTTTGGAAGGGGTTAAGTAAGGGGCATCTCTTGGTACTATGTTTGGGTAGCAAACACTCTGTTTACTTAAACTGTGTGCTTATGTGGGGTGGTTTTGAGGGGGCCTGTAGAGGGTTCTGTCTTTGTTGGTAGATATGGACCGAGAGAGAAGGTAGAGAGAGAGGGTAATGGGAAATTATGGAAAAATAACTTTAAAAAAATGAATTTAATCTATCTTATGATATCTATTCTGTCTATCTGATTTAAATGTTTAAAATGGAGCAACATTCCATGTTTATAACAAGTTCATCTTTGTGTGAAAGGCCATGGACAGGTTGGGGGGAGGCAGGGCCAAGGTGCCCTTGTGAGTAGGGAATTGCAATAGCTGGAATATAGCATTTGTAGGTAGGCAATAAGACCACAAACTCAGTCTGCCCTAAGCGAGACCAAGCAGGCAGGAGGCAGCAGACCATGTGGTAAAACAGCCCTGGCCTGGACAGCAGACCACAAGCAGAGTTCAGCACCCGCCTCCAATCCTCTAAAGCAGATTGTCATGGGAGGCCAGCTCCCAATTCTGTATAAACCTGGATGTGCAGCAGAGAGAGGCATCGGAGGGTTAACACTTTAAGGATTTTTACCTTCATTAAGGTCAAACAGTCTACTTTGTTGCTGGACAAGTCCTGGAGTAGTAAGAGGACTTTTCCCCATTCACTCTAGAGGATATGGCACTAGACATTTAATTTTCCTTTCACTACACAAAGCCGGTTTAATCTCATGGAGACATCAGTCAACAGTCTGAGCCAAGCAGAAGCAAAGAAGAACATGCAGCCCAGCAGCAGTTGGCAGCTTACGAGCGAGAGCCTGGGGCAGGTGCCTCGTCAGCAATTTCTTCACTGTTTAAACAGTTAAAAAAAAAAAAAATCTGCCTTTTTGAAAACAATATAGGTTGAAAATGAACAAATTAAAGCCAGTACTCAGGTGCTCCTTGGATCCTGGTGGCAGCTCACCTTAATTACCATCATAGGTCATGGTATTAGAAACTAATAAAGCTTAACATTTTAAAATGCTTAGCTTGTGCAAAACCTGATCCAAGTGTTTTGTGTATGTTACTCAGTCCACACAATCACCCTGTATTTGTCATCCCCATTTTACAGACAGGACATCTGAGGCACAAGTAGATTAAGTAACTTCCCCAAGGTGACCCAACCAGTATGAAAGCCCAGATCCCCTGCTCTTTCCACTGTCCGTCCTGCTCTCACCCCTGGCAATGCTGTTCAGATCTTCTGCACGGAGAGACTAATTTGTCTCACTAACTTGGGAGGAAATACTTTGAGGCACCTATAGTGTGTCTGTGCAAGTTTGGGGGAGGGGGAGATGGAAGGACAGCAAGAGAATTAAAAGTAGTGACATCATTGTTGGTTGCTCCTGTAATGAACTTATCTCAGTTAAACTCGGCCATTTTCTGATCGTTAAAAAAACAGGCTATAGTTAGATGGACCAAGGAAGAAAATAAGGAAAGAAGCTATTCTTTAGAAATTCCTGGAAACCTTTTTCTGCCTCCTCCTTGGTTTTAAAATCCTGACCTATCACTGTTAAGATCTCATCTTCTTTTCAGATCCTCCTCACAGTGTCAAACCCTCTGTAATTCCCTGCAGCAAATGAGCTCTTGTGATGGCCTAAAAGATATACTGGTGCAGAAACATCAGAGGAGGGATGAAGGGTGATTGTAATGTGGAGAAGATGAAGGCCTAGTCTCCAGGGAGCACCCTGGGAATCAGTAGCAATGTGCAATGCATGATAAACTGAAATGAACCTGTTGCCCTCATCTTTACGAAATGTGCTTGTTTTTCAGCTCCCCTTGGGTGGCAGGGTTTGCCAGAGGGGGATGAGCTTTGTTTTTTTAATTTCCTATTAGGGAAGTGGTAAAGATCATTTCACTGTAGCACTCTGTACTAAATACTGAATAGATTTCCTGTTCTAGGAATGGTTAAGAATCCTGTCAAATAGCAAAACAAATGAATATTTAATTCCCTAAATACTTACGAGAGCTGCTGTCATAGCTGCATTTTGCTCTAAATTTAACGCTTCTTAGTACTCTTTTTTTCTTTCAATCATGAGGATGTGCCTGAATCCTAGCTGCCACACCCTTGCAGTCACAAAAAAAGAGAAGTCAGCAGAGGAGCATTTGGGAGAGCAGTTACATGGCAGTGGGTTATCAGCACCCATATAGAATATGTGCCGCCAAGAATCTTAAATCTCTGCTGATTGGCATTCTTTAAAATGCCAAAGCAAGGCTTAGCAAAAATAAATATCTGCACCAGACTCCCTGCCAGGGCGATAGTTAGAAGCACACAGACCCCTACCCATGATTGCCATCTTTCTACTGGTTACCGCATAATGTTGCCTGCTTTTCTCTCTCCAGTCATCTCGTTACCTAGTCTCCAGTCAGATGTGCGGAATGGAATGCTATTTTAAATGTGCAGTCGCTCAGGTTTGGGTGCCAAGTAGAAATTGTGCAACAACAGCTTTTGTTTTTCCGAGAAGTTGGAGCACAGCCTTGCCTCTGGCACTGGAGTTGAAGCTCAGGGTTTTGCAATTAAGCATTTTAGGTACCAAAGACACCAGATCCAGCTCTCATTAACCAATCTGACTTAGCTCTAAGTATGTTTTCTTGACCATCTTGCTGTTTGGATTGGCAAAGTAGGTTTCTTCAGAAGAAAAAAGAAGGAAAAAAAAAACCCTTAGAATTCTCTTACTCCTTATTTTCATTGCCTTTGTCTAAGGTCAGTAGGCGAGAAGGGAGCCTGGGGTCTTGAGTTCTAGTTTGAGGCATGACCTTGGCATAGTGTGTCACTTTCTAGGTGTCAGTTTTATCATCTGGAACATTGGGGACCTGGGATTAAGTGATCCTTAAAGTCCCTCTAACTCCCAAAAGTCATGAATTTTTGATGCTGGTACACATGGAGAAATTGTTTCTCCCAGCTCCCTGTGAGATTCTGCTAAGTGAGAATGTTCAGGAGAGCTGGCCCAGGGGTTGAGAGGGCCCTGTCCCTATAGGGCCTGGGTGTTTGGCTAAGTGAATTTACCCTTTCGTCGTTTTGGCTGGTGTACTGACATTCTGTGACATGGAATGTCTACATGAAAACTGCCATGGCTGCTTAAAATTTCTCCAGTTGGGCACATTTGAGTATTCAGTGTACTAGGGTGCCTCAGCCGTCTTCGAAGTGAAAGCAGCATTCAGAAGTGAAATAGTATCTGCGTAAGTCATCCTTTCTGATGCTAAGTGCTTTCTTGGGAGGAAACAGCTTTTTCTTTTAGAATAAAAAAAAAAAGTGGGTGATGTAGCTTGGTGTTCTATTCCACATTATTCAGTGTCCTGTCCTATAAATAGTAACGGGCCACATGACATGTGATCTTAGGACCCATGCTCAAAAAAAAAATTTGTCTTATTGATGCAGTTTATGAAACTGCACAATTAGGAAAACCATTCCTTAGGATTTCCCTCAGGTAATCATCTTTTCATTTTGAATAAGTTCAACTAAGGGTTGGTGGCTCGATCGGGTGCCTGCTTGAGAGGGTTGTCGGCTGAGAGGGTTGTAGAAGGTAGAAAAGGGAATGGGAAGAGTGTGGAGAGGTGAGAAGCAGGAGGGTGAGCGGCACCTGGGAAGACTTGGCATCTTCCATTGAGCTAGAAGCCATGTCATCCCAGCCAAAGGGGTATGATGGGCCACTGGAGGTGCTGGGACCGGATCCTTTGAAGCCAGAGTCCACTCCTGCCATGTGCCTGCTTTGCTGGTTTGCCTGTGCAGGGGCCACTCCTGTTATGTGACACTCACCCTGCCTCCCATTGTATTCCTGGATTGCTCTGAAGCCTGGTAAGGCCTGACCTCAAGGAGTCTATAACATTAATAGTGCAACAAGATTAGAGTGCCAACTCACTTGTATGTTGGCAGTGCCCTGCACAGTGGAGGTAACAGGTGCCAAATCAACGTTTATGGAGTAATGAGCGGCAGTTAGAACTGAAGCTGTATATGTGAGCAAGAAGGAGCAGCGTGTAAGGTTTCCATTGGTCCTGAAGAATGGCAGAATCAGAGAGGTTAAGGTAGAGATCAGTGCCTAACTGGTAGGGAAGGGCAGAAGCCAAGGCCAGCCATACATGCATGATATTAGCCAAGAAGGTCAAATAGCCAGGCTCATGGGAATTCCTCTGAAAATGTTAGCTTAGCAGATATGTGATTATTGTCCCAAGCTGCCAAGGCTTGATTGGAATGTAGTCGTTACTCAGAAATAGCCTTTAAAGCAATTGTGCCTGCCTACTCTTGCCTTAATGAAAAATGGAAATGCTACCATCTCAGATCTGGTTGTTGCATAATGCTGGTTCCTCTAGCATTTCGTTCACTAATTGTCTAAATTGGTGTTTATATATTGCTCATAATGGTTAAATTAAAAGTTTAATTGGTTGTTTAACAAGGAAATTTATGTTCTTCTACAAATATAACTGCCTTCTCAAATATAGTATTTTGTTGGGACACAGGGGAGCTATCCCTGGGTAACAGGCTATTGGTCCAACAGTCTTGTTCTTGGGGAGGTGGAATCTTGGTCAGGGAACCTCGAATCCAAGTGTTAAACCTTTGTGAGGCAGCCTGGCATGGATCACAGGTTGCATTCCTGGATTCTCATCCATCCCGGCCATTAATCAGCAGTGTAACTGACCATTCAATGCCATTGTGTTACCTGCTGCTAATTTAAAAAAAGAAAAAAGCTATTGAAAAATAAGACACATAGACAAAAAACACGTATCAGATGTGTAGAGCTCAGTGAGTTTTCTCAAGCTGCACACACCTACATAACCATAGCCAGATCAAGAAAAGAAACATAGCCAGCCCCAGAAAGCCTCTTGGTGCTTCTCCAGTCATACATAGTCCAAAGGTGACCTGACTGCTAACACTCTAAATTAGCTTCACCTGTTTTTGGTACCCTTTTTTGTCAAGCCTCTTTAACTGAATATTATGCTTGTGAGATTTGTCCATATTGTCAGAAGTAGTTCTAGTCTATTCCTTCCCATTGGATTCCATTTTGTTCATTTCAAAATAGTGGGTATGCAAGCCCTACCTCTGTCAGTCATTCAGGGACATCCAGGTAAAACTTAGAAAAAGTTGAAAGTGCTATACAATGTAAAGTATTTTTATAGTTTGGGAGGGAATAGACTTAGTTGGAGTGAAAAGTGAGGGGAAGAACACAAGGGTTATGGTGTCAAAAGTGGGGAAGAAAGTGGATCAGCTACAAGGTTTGGCAACGTGGCGCATAGGGAGCGAGGAGCAGAGCTGTTTGAATCCGTGTTTCTGCCTCACGTGAGTGGGAAGTTGATGGTCTGTGAGGTCAGCTGTCCTGTGAGCCACACATTGTTTTATTTCTTGTAGTTGTTAACTGAGCCCCTATGCTTAATAGCAGAGATCTCTTTAGTCAATTCATATTTATTATTTATGAATTTGCCAAACATTTTGTATTCCCACTAAACCACCTTCTTTTCCTGGGAGGCAACTACCGTGGTCTAGGAGTCATTTGTGCTTCTCAGTGGCGTGAAGTCTCCATGTTTCTTCCCATCAGGCCCTGGATGGGGATTTCTCTGAAGACAACCGCAATAAGTGTCGCATTGCCACTGCACCCTTGATTGAAGCCGTGGAGAACCTGACAGCATTTGCATCTAACCCTGAATTTGTCAGTGTTCCTGCCCAAATCAGCTCCGAGGTAAGGAGTCTTTGCAGCAAAGGTAATGTTGGCATCTTTGGCTAGCTTTATGCAGCACTGAATGAGCACAAAGAGTAAAGAACTCCAAAAGCTTTCTCTGTCAATATGTAGGGCCTTGTTCTCAATGATGGTACATGCACAGAGTTAATGAAACTCAATGTCTGCACATCTCTTAAGAAGTATGCCTTAGCTTTATATGATGAGAACAATCTCTATACATAGATTTGCGGTTGATTCTTGATATGTGTCATACTCAAAAATGATATTTAAGAACATGGACCCATGTCCTCACCATCCAGGCCCTAAGTGCGCCAACCTCCATGGTTCCCTATTCGCTGCATTTCCTGTGGACAGAGGTAGTGGCTTGGTAAAGAACAGGACCTTCCATGGCCTGACTCATTCACTCTGTACACCGTGCCTTTGACCCTTCTGCTGTTTGGTCCCAGGGATCCCAGGCACAGGAACCAATCCTGATCTCGGCCAAGACCATGCTGGAGAGCTCATCGTACCTCATCCGCACTGCACGCTCGCTGGCCATCAACCCCAAAGACCCACCCACCTGGTCTGTGCTGGCCGGACATTCTCACACTGTGTCCGACTCCATCAAGAGTCTTATCACATCTATCAGGTTAGTTTCTCCTCCAGAAATTGCTAGGGGCCTGTGTCTGAACAGGGAAGGAAGGGAATAAGTCCATCAGGAATTGTATTTAATAGCAATGCGTTTGATCATTCTCATCTTTTTCTTTTATCTCTTTGGGATCAGTGGTAGCACTGGTCATAATAATAGCTAATTTAAGCACTTACTGTGTGTCAGATGCTGTTCCAAGTATTTTACCTATATTATCTCATTGGATTATAACAGCAGCTTTGTCGGGTAGATACTGTCAATGTCTCCCTCTAATCGATGAGAGAATTGAAGCAGAAAGGATTTAGGGAAATTCCCAAGGTCCTCCCCGGGCCTGATTGCTCTAGTCTTAGTCTTTATAACCATTGTAACTAGGAGCTTAGGCAGAGCACCACTATTTATTTAGCAGGATTTGGGGTTACCTTATTTTGCTAATAAGACAAAAAAATATTCAAGGTCCCACAGTAATTCTGGGCATCTATGACTCCCTTGGTGATAGTAAGGGCCTGAAACAATATCTCCTAAGTAGATAAAACATTTTGAAGTTGACCAAAGTTAATAACCAACAGCATGGAATGTATCCCTTTTCTTAGATACTTTGTTTTTCTATTTTGAAACTCAGGACCACAGTTAATTTCCTTAATACCTTGCAAAGAAAAATTGGCTAAATATTTTAATGTCTACTGTAACCCAGGAGTTTGTGAATAGTATGCAATATAGAGAACATAACGTGGTTGCACTGGAAATAGCACCAACATTTTTTTTTTTTTAAATAAGGATTCTATGCTTAAGCCAGTGAGTAGATAATCCAAGTCTAAATTGTTTCATTTGCCATTTCCTGGCATCAGCCTGAGATAGAGGGCGGCACTAGATCCTTCTCACCAGAAATAAAAGTTAGCACAAGTGTTAAATTAAGAAATGTATGAGTTATACAGAGAGGCATTGCCAAGCAAGCATCAGGGATTGACTCCTTAAATAATGCAATCAAGTAGGGTAGAGAGTAGACAGAGTCTCATGGCCCTCCAATGCAGGAGTGGGTTGTGGAACTTGAGCCCCATGGAGCCTATGTTTAACTCCCTCTGTCCCTTCCAGGGACAAGGCCCCTGGACAGAGAGAGTGTGACTACTCCATCGATGGCATCAACCGGTGCATTCGGGACATCGAGCAGGCCTCGCTGGCAGCTGTCAGCCAGAGTTTGGCCACGAGGGATGACATCTCTGTGGAGGTAAGCTGAGACTCTGTGGCCAGCTCGGAAGCCTTTGAAAATGCTGCAGAATCTCAGCATCAGACTTTGGGGGATGAGAGAATAGAACCAACATGTTTTTGATGGTAGAGTTTTATCACTGAACCACCTTCCCCTGTGGAACTAACCTGGGAAGTTTTTGGAGAGAGAAAGGCAGATGCTGATTAGAGAATGGTGGTTTGGTGAAGGAACACACATGTACTGCTGGAGGTGGCAAGATTAAATGAGGCTGAAGCTTGAGGAAAAATTAATGTCAGATAATGTCACTAAGGTGGGTTTACCGTATTCTTTTTAACATATCAGTGGAGCAGACCTAAGCATGTTTGAATGTTTCTCTGTTGTCATTTTTCACCAATGCACTTTTTGACTAATGGGCACATTTAGCGTTAAACTCTATACATTTGGTCCATTTAGAGATAAAGATTTCCTTCCTAAGTTACTCATTATCTAGTATTTGGAGACCTTTAGAATTCTGTTATTAATTCAGAGTCACTTTGCCGTTTCTTGCCAGTTTTTCCAAAGTTGAGGATAGAATTTTCCGACTTTGATCCTTTGAGTTTTTTCTGTAACCTGTCCAAAGGCCTCTGATTAATTCTTCTTTGTTGAAAGTGCCTGACACTCAGAAGGTGCTTAATAAATATGGATGGTCTCTTCACTGATGTTTCCCTTACTGCCGCTGAATTCATCAACAATGAACTTTGACCCCTGTCTCTAAGCAGTGGGCCCAGAGTTCGTATTGCTCATTTTTATTAATAGAGCTGTCTGTTTCACCTCAGCTTCACGCCACCCCGTGCCCATTTCCAGGAAAAGAAAGAAGGGATAAGCATTCTCATCTTGTGTGGAATGTTAGAATTATTGTTAACCTGGTATTAAAGTAGAATATGCATACAGAAAAGTGTGCATATCATAGTGTGAAGATGATGAATTTTCACCAACTAAGCACATTCTTCAACCAGCACCTTTTTCAAGAAACAAACATGACCAGCGACTTAGAAGGCCCCCATCATGCTCCCATCTCGTACCATCCCTCCCCAAGCATATCCTCTGTCTTAATGTCTTCCCTAGGAAGAAAATCCTCCCCTTTAACTGCATGTGCTTCCTGCTTACACCATATTTCATTTAACAAGCTGTCTGTAATAAGACAACATTGCTGGAATATTCTTGTGTTGTAAGTGGGAAGACAAGTATTAGCTAAATAAGACCCTCGGAAACTTGGAGGTTTCTATCCACCTGCCTCCATCTCTCTATTTGTCTCTTTTTCCCTTTTTTTCGCCAGGATTTTATTTTAAGTTTGCACGTTAGACTGCTCCTCTCGTTGACTAACATCTTCTCAAAGCTCCCAGCACATGTACAGCATTGTTTAGTGGGGAAGTAGCAAAGGCCTAAGTCTCATTTCTGATGACCTGATCTTTCTCACTTTGTCAGGAATCACGCCCATCCCGTGCTGCTGTGTGCAGACCTAAAATGTCCAGCATTGTGATGTATTAGATCCTGACTTTCTCAAGCGAAGCTCCTATGAAGATTCCTACAAAAGGATCTGATCTTTCCCACTACTAGCTAACAATCTCCATCTTTGAATTCCCCACCCCCTTACACTCCAGCATCATCTAGATACCTTGCCCTGTCTCTTCACAGCATGAGTGCAATTCTTTGGGATGGAGAGATTAAACTGTCTCTCAAACCTGAGAAGAAATGTCTTGAGGACGCCGTTTTCAATAACTGCATCCACATCTCCAATAACAAGGAACTGAGAGCCTGAGCTGATGAGCTCGATGAGCATCTCACCAGGCATTTTCACAGTGCGGTGTTGGGGAAATAGTCCTGATTTCAGAGAACTGATCTCATTTTTATGTCACCCTTCTCTCCCCTATCCCCTTAAAGAGTTCTTAGTTCTCAGGCCACAAGGACCTGAATGTTGCCTCAGACTCCATTAGCTCTCTCCTTTTGGACAAAGTTGCGTTCTCTTCTTGGAAAGCCGTCGCTGTTCCACATTTCCAGTAATTATGCTGAATAACCCAAGTAAAGATACGAATAGCATCATTGGGTACTGTGGTTGGTGGGAGTGAGAAGCCAGTAGGAATAGTGTTGTGTCACTCACTGCCTTGTGTTGCTCACAGGTGCAAGTGGGTCCTAGGGATGCTGAGAAGTCCTGGGAAAGGGCAGGGTGAAGTGGCAGCTTGATGGCACAGCTAGACAATTTGATGTCCATTTCTTGTGGCCTCCTTTGTCTTTCACATGGGCATTTCTAAATCAGTGCACCTTTGAGGGAACCATTGTGAGGTGAACTTGACAGCTCTCTCTCCTCATCAGGCCCTGCAGGAGCAGCTGACTTCAGTGGTCCAGGAAATCGGGCATCTCGTAGATCCAATCGCCACAGCAGCTCGGGGAGAAGCAGCTCAGCTGGGACATAAGGTAATATGCACCGAGGGGATCCTGCTGAGAGCACACGTGAGAGAGAGGTGGAGGGAGAGGTTTCTGTAGGTTTTGTTATTCTCAAAATCCTGAGGCCAGGTATTGTGCCTAAGGCAATGCTGGCTTAAACGATGGAAAACAGAATTCATTTTCTTCAAAAATGACCACCTCGGGATCTGCTTTCACCTGGCATTGAGATAAAAACTACAGGGAAATTTTTCTGGTTATGGTCAGACTTTTTCAGCCTACGAGGCATTTACAGTCATCTGTCACTCTTGACCTTCGCTTAGATAAACCAGAGACTGAAGTCGATATTCCTAGCCTGATGTCTGCCATCTTTCGTCCCTGGCTGGCCGGTTTCATTCTGGTGTGTTTTAGGGATATGTTGTTCTTCCATGGCTCCTCATAGCGTCTATTTTCACAAATGAGAAAGCAAAGCAAACTTGCAAATTTCACTCTGGACAACTAAAGCCGCCCTGTGCGGTCACCCCGGAGGGGCCCTTCAACTGAGAGTTTATACTCACATTGTTGTAAGTGCTGAGTAATGTTTTGCCTGTTTGGGGTTTATTTTGCAAATCCTTCAAGGATCGTTGGCTTGTCAAACAGCCCATGCCTCAGCAGAGAGAGGACAGAAATTGGATTTTTAACAACCTTCGGGGTTTCCTAGCATTTATCAGAGCAGCCATCAGTATCGACATGCGTATCTAGAAATCCAGTAGCCAGAATCTTCTCTGCAGGTATTGATTTTAGGAAATCGATATTCTTACTTTTTAAGTTATAAAATAGCTCAAGGGCCTGCTAAGCTTCCTGCTGGTATTCTAAGGACAGGTTTTTGAGATTTAAAATGGTCAGTGTCACTGCCTCTTCAAGTGTGGCAAACTTCATTTCTCAGCTGAGTTCCTTTTAATAAGAAAGGGGCTTGTTCGCCTGTGTGAAGAGGCTTGCAAGGGTCGAGGGGACTGGTCTGGAGGCTGGAGCCTCTGCCTACGTGTGTGCCGTGGGGAAACTGAGTTTGGAAAAGAGGCTGGACTTTGTTTCAGAAGTTACTCTTCATTCCGGTAGGAATTTCATAAGAAAATATTTCCGGACTTCTAGGGCAGCATCTTCGTCTCTGAAGATGTGTTGTTAGTAAGAAACATTAATTCTTATTTCAGTGGGTGGCATCAAAAGAAAAATAATATATTTGTATCACTGGAGTTACAAATGTCCTCTTGTTCCTTTGGCTAAACTAGTCTGACTTTCCAAAAGGGAGTCTGGACAAAGACAGCCTAGGGACCTTCTACCCAGAGGAGTCATGGGCTGAGTTAATACCTTCATGGTTCCAGTGTTTTATTACACCTCTCAGTGGGATCCTAGATCAGCTTAAGCTGGGATCAGCTTCACCCAATCACCTGGGATTGCTAAGTGCAAAGTCTGAGACCCCACCTGTATTCTTTTCCCACAGCTACTGTAACAAATTACTACAAACTGAGTGGCTTAAAACAGAAATTGAATCTCTCTCAGTTCTGGAGGCCAGAAGTCCAAAATCAAGGTTTTGGCAGGGGCATACTCTTTCTGGAGGCTCTCAGGGAGAACTTGTTCTTTGTCTCTTCTAACATCTGATGGCTCTCGACATTCCCTGGCATTCCTTGACTGTAACATACCAATCTCTGCCTCTGTGGTCACATTGTCTCCTGCTCTCTGTTTGTCTTTCCTTATTCTATCTCTTAAAAGAATACTTGTTATCAGATTTAGGGCCCACCCAAGTAACCCAGGATGATCTCATCTTAAGACCCTTAAACATTCCTGCAAAGATCTTCTTTCCCAGTAAGATCACATTCACAGGTTCTAGGGATTTGTATATGGACATATGTTTTGGGGGCCACCATTCAAACCACTCTGCCACCTTAGGCCTTAGGGAATCAGCATCACGTATTAAATACTCAAAATTCTCTGTTAACTTCTATGCTAACCCAAGTGAGGATGTTTCCTGTTCTGTCCTGTCTCTCAAGAGCAGAAGGTGTTAGCTTCCTAAATACAGGAAAAAGCACATACCTTCAAAAACCTGAGCACACAATAGGTGAGGAATCGTGACACCTTAGTGTCGAGTGCCTACAACATGGCAGGCATTGTGCCAAGTGCTTTTACGTACACTAATTTAATCCTCCTAACAATCTAAATGAGTTTAGTGCTATTATTCCCCATTCTACAGAGGAGGAAACAAGTTTAGTAGTAGGAGGCAATTTGCCTAAGATTTCTCAATAAAGAATTGGCAGGGAGGATTCAGATTCAGTGGTTCTGAAACTAGAGCTTACTCTACCAGCCATTTATAATACCTCCATGAGGAGTTGGCACCAGTTTCGTTTAATTATTCTCAGCATGCAGCAACCCTTGACATTTTACAGTTGCATTGATGAAATGTACTTTCAAAATAATAAAAGAAATCTAGAAAACATGTAAGATTCTAATGTGTTAAACATTTTGACTCCTTTAGGTTGTATAGGATGCATCCTGAGCCCTGAGCCCTGACCCCTGATGTTAGCTGAGAAGTTAACATCATACTTAATGTAGAAACACTAAAAACTTTTCAAGATCAAGAATAAGATGAGGCTGTCCACTATCACCACTGTTATTCAATGTAGTATGGGAAGTCCTAGCTAGAGCAATCAGGTCAGAGAAAAAAATAAAAGGCACCCACATAGGGAATGAAGAAATCTTGTCACTTTCTGCAGATGACATGATTCTCTATATAAAAAACCCTGAAGACTCTACTAAAAAACTATTAGAAATAATACAGTAAAGTTACAGGAAAAAAAATCAATGTTCCAAAATCCATAGCATTCCTATACTCTAATAATGAATTTTCAGAAAAAGAAGTGAAAAGAAAAAAATATAAAACTTCTTCTGCAATTGCAACAAAAAGAATAAAATGTCTAGGAGTTAACCTAACAAAACATGTGAAGGACCTATACACTGAAAAGTATAAGATAGTATTAAAAGAAATTGAAAAGGACATAAAGAAATAGAAACATATTTCGTGTTCTTGGATTGGAAAAATCAACAGAGTTAAAATGACCTCATTACCTAAAGCATTATACAGATTTAATGCAATTCCCTATCAAACTCCAGTGGTATTTTTAAAAGAAATACAACATGCATGTTAGTCTTAAGTTCTGATTGAGATGACATGCATTTGTGCTGCCATTTTGTACTATCAAGACTTGACTGTTTGTGTGGACAGTTTTGTTAATGATTGACATTTCTGGTAGATGAATATATGTAACCGAGTAAAATAAGAAATTCAACAAAATATCATCAGATTTGTGTATAAGCGCAAAAGACCCCAAATAGCCAAAGCAATCCAGAGAGAAAAGAACAAAACCAGAGGTATCACTCTTCCTGACTTCAAATTATACTACAAAGTGATAATAATCAAAACATCATGGTATTGGCAGAAAAACAGACACACAGACCAGTGGAAAAGTATCAAGAGTTCAGACGTAAACTCCCTCACACATGGGCAAATAATTTTTGACTCCTTAGTCAAAAACCATACAACAGAGAAAGGAAAGCCTCTTCAATAAATGGTGCTAGAAAACTGGAAATCTATATAAAAGAATGAAACTAGACTGTTGTCTATCACCACACATCAAAATTAAAATGGATTAAGGACCTGAATATAAGACCTAAACAATAAGTTGCAAAGAAGAAAACATAGATACTAAACTCATGGACCTTGGACTTAGAGAGGATTTTATGAATTTGCCCTCAAAGGCAAGGAAAGTAAAACCAAAAATAAATGAATGGGACTGTATCAAATTAAAAAGTTTCTGCTCAGCAAAAAAAAAAAAAAAAAGCCATCAACAAGGCAAAGAGGGAATCATCCTAATGGAAGAATATATTTGCAAACAATGACTCTGGATAAGGGTCTAATATCCAAACTATATAAAGAACTCATACAACTCAACAATAAAAAAAGCAAACAATCCAATTAAAAAATGGGCAGAGAACCTGAAGAAACATTTCTCCCAAGAAGATATACAAAAGGCCAACAGACATGAAAAGATGCTCAGCTTTACTAGCTTTTAGAGAAATGCAAATCAAAACCACAATGAGATACCACTTCACACCTGTTAGAATGGCTGTCATCAACAGAAGTAAGAACAAGTGTTGGAGAGATTGTGGGGAGAAAGGAACCCTCCTGGTAGGAATGCAAATTAGTTCAACCACTATAGAAAATAGTATAGAGGTTCTTCGAAAAACTAAGAATAGAATTACCACATGACCCAGCAATCCCTCTTCTGGGTATTTACCCAAAAAACTTGAAAACATTTAACCACAAAGATATATGCACCCCAATGTACATAGCTGCATTATTCATGGTGGCCAGGATGTGTCCATCAATAGATGATTAGATAAAGAAGATGTGGTACATATATACAATGGAATGTTACTCAGCCATAGGAAGAGATGAAATATTGCCATTTGCAACAACATGGACAGATCTTGAAATAATCATGCTAAGTGAAATAAGACAGAAAAAGTTGAAAGCCATATGATTTAACTCATATGGATGTAAAAAACAAAGAAACAAACATGACAAACAGAGACTCATGGACACGGACTGTGGATTAGTGGGTATCAGAGGGAAGCGGGGAGGGGAGAGGTAGATAACGGTAAAAGGGGTCAAATATTTGGTGGTGGAAGGAAATCTAATTTGGGGTGGTGAAGCACAATACAATATATATATTACATACTATCAAATTGTACACTTGAAACTTACTTGATTTTATCAATGAATGTCACCCCAATCTTTAATTAAAATAAAATGGCCTTCTTACCTACATCCCCATCACTCTTCCTCCTTATGATGGGAAGAAGCACTAAGCATTAAGGGAATTGATGCCTCAAGATTGGAGCTTAAATATACTTGATGGGAATAATTTAGAGTTAGTAATTGTCACACAAAATCAGGAGTTGAATGAAAAACATAATCAATCTGATCATTTTTAACTGAGTGAGAATGGATTATGATACCTGAAGCAAATACAGCAAAATGTTAAAACTTGATATTTGGGATGCTAGGTAAATGGATATTACTGGATTTTTCTCAGACTTTAGTTTAAATACTTTACAAAACAACAAACAAATACCAAACAACAAACTTTTAAAATTCAATATTACAACTTAACGGAACTGGAACAAAAATGAAAAGTAGCAGACAGTACAGCAGTGCTCGAGAACCTGGGCTGTGGAGTGGGACACCTGGCTCCTGCGCCAGCTCCAGCTCTCTGCCACATGGGGTTGAGTAGGTTACTTCACCCACCTAAGCCTCGGTTCCTTCCTTTGTATCTGCTTTGCACAATTGTTGTGAAGATTCGATGAAGAAATGCATGGTAAGCATTTAGCAGAAAGCGTGGCTTACGGGATGCACACAAATGTGACATGTGGCCCTGTGGCACCCAGCTGATGAGTTTTGATGAGCATGTATGTACCAAATATGATGCTACCCTACTGGAGATAGGCCTCTGTTGGAACAGTGGTGCGCTGTCGTGATAGGCTTTTTTCTCTCAGGTTGGGCTAATCATAAACAGAACATCTAAGCTTATATGAAATTGTTTTTGCTTTTATTCCAAATGCATGGTTTGGTTAAAAAGCTCAGAGCAGAGGACAGTTGGATTGGCTTCCTAAACACCTGTGAGGGTATCTTTACTCTCAGGCCCTTTTCCTCATCTGTTCTGCTGCCCTGCCCCTCTCCTATCCCCCTTCCTTCTGACTTTGTAAGATGCTCATCTTTGGTTCTTTCAAAGGCTTTTCTGTTCACAAAATTAAAATTTGTAAAATTGTCACTCTACTCTGTATCTCAGAACATTTCTTAGCATTTCTGCCGTGATGAGAGGTGAGATAAAGAGCTCCTCAGAGGAAGTTAAACTCAAGCAAGAGTTTAAAAAATAAATAAAGTTTAAAAATAAAGGTCAGCAAATCTGCCTCTCCCTGCAAGTCATACCATCCCTGTCCCAGCCCCATCTCTATCAGTAGGGCCCCTAAAGGAGATGCAAGTATTTACACGATGCATCTGTGGCTTTTTTGTCTTAAAAGGTGACACAGCTGGCGAGCTACTTTGAGCCCTTGATCTTAGCTGCAGTTGGTGTTGCCTCCAAGATTCTGGACCATCAGCAGCAGATGACAGTGCTGGACCAGACCAAGACGCTCGCAGAGTCTGCCCTACAGATGTTGTATGCAGCCAAAGAAGGCGGAGGGAACCCCAAGGTACAGTGCAGGATGCTGCTGACTCACTTAGGACCACCGAGAAGCCATCACGCATTCCTCTGTATCACATCCCTCTAGGGAAAACACCTCCAGTTCTTAGCATTTGAGTTCCCACTCAGAGGTGGGAAATCTTCTATTGGCCTTCCCAGGGATCTTTAAGAGGAAAAGCAAGAACTATACATAATTAATGCATATTTATAAGTTATTTTTCCATGACAGAATGTGTAGGCAGGCATCCTTGGGGAAGAAAAACTTCATACCTGCTGGCACCTGCTCAGTGTTGACACCTAGCTTGCACAAAGTACAGCTCTGTTGTTTTCCGGTGTATGTCAGTTCCATTCCTGGTACTCAAGTTCAAAGCGAAATGCGGCACAAGGTCACCCATGGCATGTGTTGCTATTGCCTTGGAGGCAGTAGTTTGATATGAAAATCTCCCTTACCGACTTGCAGGTGGAACATTCGCTCATCCCAATATGTCACCTAGCTACTGCAAGTGGCCAAAGATGACAACAGCATGTCATTTTCTCTCAGGGATGATATTTGCATCAGAGCGATTGTTTTACCTATGAAACCATTATGCACCTTAAGTTTCCTCAGGGTTCCAGTTCCTGAAGAGGAGAGTGGGGCTCCTCTTGCTGTTTGTACCTTCTAGTAGCTGCCCACCCGTGATCGATCTGATCTTAATGGGTCCTCACCTCAGCAGAATAACGTAAGGGGAACACTGACTGGAAAAATTTGTGCAGGATACTTCCCTAGAAGCTAAAGGAATCTACATGTGTGTATGTATTTTTTAATGTGTTCTGTTACATCTATCTGTAAGGTCTTCAAATTGGTAGCATGGTATAGCAGAGAAGACTCTGGATTTAAGAGAATGGCAAAATAATAATCTCGGAGCTAACAGTTATGGAGTCCTGACTGTGTTACCTATTATAGCTTATACCATCATCTTATTTAATCTTCATAAATATTCTATGAGATAGGAAGGTTCCCATTTATGGATGTGGAAACGGAGACTGAAAGTGCTCAGGTAAGTTGTCTGAGATGACATGAGAGAGAGAGATGACGTGCAGGGTCAGGACTGAGCCTGCGCCCCGTGGAATCACAGGCCAGCTCTGCCCAAAGCAAAGACTGGAGCAAGGTCAAGGAAGCTGCAGAGAAGGAGGGACGTTTGGCTAGTTGGTCTTAAAAAAAGAAGTTACCTGGTACAGAAGAATGGCTGGATGCGTGCTGGGAAAAGGGAACTGCGTATACAAAGGCTTAGATAGGGTTACAAAAGGATTCTGGTATCTTTAGAAAAGAGCACTCAATCTGATGTATGTGGAGTACAGGGTGTGGGGACAATGGGACGCAAGGATAGACTGGGCTGTATTGTGACAGGTCTCTACCACGCTAAGAAGTTTGGGCTTTATTGGAAGCCATGGGAACAACGTGACCTATCTGTAGTTTAGAAGCACCATTCTGGTAACAGCATGAATAGTGCCTGAGACTTGCATTTTCTGTATTCAGTTTTTCATTCATGTAATGTATCCGACAAGTACTAAGAGCCTAATTCTGGGAATGCTAAAAATATTAAGAGCCAGCCCATTGCCCTCAAGTTGTTCTGAGTCTTCTGAAAAAAAAAGAATAAGTCTAGTTGCCAAAGTGGTTGGGAGACCTGTATGGAATAGTTTTCAGCAAATGGCCTGAAGCATCGGGTGATGAACTAAGACATGATGAGTGAAGGCAAGACAGGTGTTTATGTCCCTGATGTCATTCAACCTGTGCTCTGTCTGCAAATCCTGAAAGGCTTGACACAAAGGATGCCTGGGACACAAGTTGGCTTTTAGGCTCTTTCCTAAGAGGCCTGATGCAGACTTAATCACCTTAGCTGCATTCTTTGGGCAGATATTTACTAGGTGTTATTTGCTGTGTGTTAGGTGACGCATGTATGTGTTAGATGTCCTATGTCCCTGTTTGCAGAGGAAATGTTAAAATGTGACTAAATGGTTAATGGTAGCTTCGATTTGGTGAAAAATAGCACCCACATTGGGATTGGTTTCAAATCCCATCTCTGCCTCTTGCTAGCAAATTACTTCATTTCTTTGTTTCCTCATCTACTCAATGAGGTTCATAATGAATGTCTCTATAGGGTAGTTGTAGAGATTAAATGAGATAAAGCATCTGACACAGTAGGTGTTTTAAAATAAAGTAGCCCCACCACCCCCCCTGTGTTAGCCACATATTAATGAATCAGGGGATTATAAGGCATTGCTGTGTAGCCTCACTCGCACCCTGCTGAGTGTTTCAAAGCTCATTCTCTATCCCCCAGAGTTCCCTTCTGTGCTCACCACCACCCAGGGCCCCTCCAGCTCTGCCTGCGGCACTCAGCAAATACACAGCCTAGCCATTGCAGGGAAGCTCTAATTACTAATTGTTGTTTACCTCTACCAAAGTTGAGTTCGGTCCCCTGTAGCCTTCTCCTGTTTTCCAAACTCCTGTGCTGTCTGTGCCCGATATCCTGGGCTTTGTAGTTGTAGCACTGTAATGACTCCTGTTTTCCAAACTCCTGTGCTGTCTGTGCCCGCTATCCTGGGCTTTGTAGTTGTAGCACCGTAATGAAGTCAGGCTCCCTTGGAAGTAGACTTTAGATATTTCAAAAAAAAAAGGACAAAGTCCGATTTTTCTTCTGTGTTGTGCCGTGAGGACCAGTAACAAAGAGTCCCTCCAGAATCTAAAATAGCAAGCTCATTGTTGGGCCTGCTGGCTCCACTTAGAGTTGCCGTTGGTCATTTAAACATGCCTTAACTGAGAGCCCACTTTGTCTGTGGGTGTCTGAAACTCGTGTGCTCAGCTGGCCCACATGTGTGATTGGACTGAGCTGTGTGATCAAGAGGTTTACCATTGAAGTTCCAGGAAACATTCCTGGGAGAGGCCTGGAGTAATCGGAGGAGGCTTCACAGAAGAGGTGAACTCTGAGTTGACCCTTTAAGGATCTGTAAAACTTAAACATATGGAGTGGAGGAGAACAGACCTAGAGAATTCCTCAGCACAAGTAGACGGGAAGGTAATTCATTTCTGGGACAGCCAAGAGCAAGGATGTGTTTTTGTAGGTTTTGGTGCTTCAGTCTGAAAAAAAGTGTCATTTTCATTGTCTTAGGAGTTGAGAGAACAGTTTTTGTGATTTACTGCTGCTGCCTCCAAAATGTTCTTCTGACACTCCTGAGACCATATGGGAGAGCAGATACTTGGCAAGCAGCTTTCTCCTCTCCTCACAGATGTGTACTTTGTTTTAACATGCATGTGTAGATTTGCTGGCATTTTTGTGCCACCAGTAGTCACCTCATTCTAAGTGAGATTTAGAGAAATCCACACTTTCCACCTTTTTTATAAATCAGAATATATATGTATGGAATACTCTCTCTGGAGGGTTATGTGCAGAAGATGTCACTTCTATCATCGAAATCATGCAATCTGCACATCTCTGTAGCATGAAATCGGCAATCAACCTAAATTATCAGTTTACTCCATTGCATTCCTAAAAGAGGGAGCTATGCATGCTGACAGTTGCCTCAAAGAGAGCCATCTATGATCTGAATATTTCACATCTCATCGGATTTCATATTTGAAGAATTCTTCCGGATTCCCGTGGCTTTTCAATTTCACAGACAGGGCCAATTCCTATGGCTCATGTAGCTTCTTCTTAGAATTCTTCTCTTACGTGTAATCACTCAATAGAGTTTTCATTTACCATCTCTCACTGGCTTCCTTACCATCTCCTCTACCAAAGTAAAGATGCAACTTCTTGGGCCTTTTGGAAGGATTGTCTTCCCCTGAGGAGGGTCAGGCAGCCATGGTGTTGCCTGGGTAACCCCAATGCCTGGGTGCAATGAGACTTTAACACCAACTACTTGGCATTAGGTCAGATTTCCCAGATTGAGAGCACAGGCCCTGACTAGACCACCCTCAATTCACACACCAGCCACAAGCTGCAGGGTTCTCAGGCCACCTTCACTCTGATTGACTAGCTACAAATGCATGGGTTCTTACTACCCCTTAGGTTCCATAATTTGCTAGAATGACTCATAGGACCAAGGAAATTGCTGTACTTACAGATACAGTTTTATTGCAAAGGATACAAACCAGCCAAAAGAAGAGACACAGAGGATGAGGTCTGGAAGGGTCCTAAACACAAAACTTTCGTGTCCTCAGGATGTCCCAGCATATTGATGCGCATCACCACATCAATGATGTGCTCATTTCAGCTTCCCTGTCCAGAGTTTTTATTGAGATTTCATTATGTAGGCTTGATGGCTTGAGTTCAGTCATATGACCAATGATTTAATCTCCAGCCTCCTCTCTCCCCTAGAGGTCAGCGATTGGGCTGATATTATGTTGCTCAAAGACCCAACCCTGTGGTCACAGGATTGGTCTTTCCGGCATGACCAGTTCTGAAACTACCTGGGGGCCATGATGATTCACCTTGTTAGCACAAACTGATGTCTAGTCCAAGAAGCCCACCTTGAATAACAGAGACCCTCCTATCACTTAGGAGATGCTAAGTGCTTAGAGCCTCCCCTCTGAGGAACTTTAGGCAAAAGCCAGCCAAATATTTTACTATTCAGCACTAGGTGAGGTTCCAGGCTTGGGGTTCATCTAGTAACAAGCTACCAGGAATTGGAAGACATATGTAGAATGGACCCTGAGGAGTAGGAAGAACTTCCAGGAGTAGTAGCAGGTCCTAAGGCTCCTTGCCTTTGCCACATGGTATCTGGGTGGCTTTGCCTTATTTGGCGGGGAGAGGCTGAAGCCTCCCCTTGTAGATGGGGTATTCCCTACGTTAAGGTTATTTTTTTGGTAGCGCTGATAAATTTGATCTGATCTGGCCATATGCTTGTTTTTCTTTTGACCAGTGGTGTATAAGTTCAGCAAATGGCCAGCTGGTCAGTGGCAGTTGTCATCTACCAGGTCTGTAAGCTCTGGTGCTTAAGCTCCCATTTTCAGATTGTGACTGTCAGAGGGGTCCCTGGCAGGGATGTTGTCCTATTCTCACCTTCCAGTGGGCTGTGAGGATTAAGGAGATGTGCACAACAGCGATCAGCACAGTGCCTGGCACCAAGGAGTCTCTCTTAATTGCTAGCAGCTGCTATTGCTGCGGTTATGTGGTTTGATATTTATTATTATCCCTAGTTCCCCCTCTGCAAAATGCTATAATACCTGACTCAAGATATAAGAACATAGATTTTAAAATTGGTATGAAAGTCACATTGAGCCCACAGGTTGGCTCTTGCATTGCACAAAGTACACTAGAGCCCCTGGCGTCTTGCCAGGATCCATGTGAATGTCATCGGGTGTTCTTGGTCTAGTCAGAGCTAGAGTACGCCATCGCAAATTGAGCGTGCCTAGTCGATTGCTCGAGAAGTTGTTTGAAGAAGGGCCAACCCTGTTCTGACTCCCCGCAAGCCATATCTATGCCTTCAGCTCTGCCACCCATGCCTGTTCCACAGCCTATAAACAGATGGTTCCAATTATTTGTAAATCAGCCTCTCCAAAGGAGAAATTTACACCAATAGCCTGTAAAGGTTAACCTTGTAAAAATTTCTCTGAAAATAAAATTTCTCAATCATTACTTAGCCCCACCTGGTGACTTTATCAAGCCCTTCACTTCTTGTGAATAGTGTGCTTCTAGGGGAAGCAGAGTCAATTGTCTGCAAGGAGCATGCAGTCTAGTTGGAGAGGCTGGGGTGTGTGAGAGATAATGGAAGAGGGGCAGGAGCCGTGTGCCAGGTATTTTGCCAGACACTTTACATAGGGTGCTTCACCTCATCTTCATGATGCACATTCCTTCTCACCTCTGGACCTTTGCACAGGCTGCATCTTCTGCCTGGAAGGCTCCCCCTTCTCCCTCACTCCATCAACTCTGCTAGTGTCTAGATTCTTCCTCCAGGTCTCAGCTTAACCTGGACACCTCCCCCAAGAAGTCTTTGGACCCCATGGCTGGATTTTTAACTCTTCTTAGGTACTACTCCAGTTAGCTGAAAACAAGCCATCCTAAAATGTAGTTACTTAACACCATTTTAGTATTATCTCTGGTGGCTCTGCAGATCCATGGAGCTCAGCGAGGCAGTCTCACTCAGAGGCCCCCCTGCCATGGTAACCAGACGGTGGTAGAGGCCTGAATGACCTGAGACTCAGTCATCTCAGGTCTGGTGCCTAGATTTGGAAGAGGGGGGAAGGCAAATGGAACCTGTCACTGCAGACAAAGGGTGAAAGTGGACCTGTGAGGAGTCTAGCCAGGAAGGGAGAGCAAGGCTGCCTCCCCTTGACCTCCCCACCCGTGGAGAGCCTGGGAAATAGAAAAGGTGGATGCCAGTCTGGTAAAGAGTCAAGGAATGTTTGTCGTTCAAGGTTGTTTTTCATTGTTATCTTCTAAAGTAATTTTAGTGGTAATAATCAATAATTAACATTTACATCCCAACACAATTGCCTCGAAGATACTATATGTGATCAGTTATTTCACATCTTGTCAGATGTCATTTTGGAAGAACTCTTCTTGGATCCCATGGCTTGTCAATACTGCAGACAGAGCCAGTTCCTATGGCTCACATACCCTCTTCTTGGATTCTTTCTCTTTTATTTAAGTCCCTTGAAAGTTGTCATTTACCATCTCTCACTGGTTTCCTTGCCTTCTCATCTACCAAAGTAAAGATGTGATTTCTTGGACCTTTTGAAAAGGTCGCATCCCCCTGAGGCTGAGCCAGGGCCATGGTCACTGCATGTAGCACCTGGGTGCAGTGCAATTCTGACACTAACTACCTGGCATTAGGTCAGATTTCCCAGTTATGGGCACAGGCCCCAACTAGTGTGCTCTTATTATAAACAATAAGGTACCTGCACCCATATGATCTCGTCAGAACTCCCATTTTACTTAGAAAGTCAAGACCACGGCCACTTAGCTAGTTAGCAGTAGAATAGGAACTAGTAGAATAGGAACCAGGTTTTCCTGACCCGAAGTCCATGGCTTTTTCCCCTACATCTTGCTACCATTTGAGGTATCTTTAGGGGAGCCCGGCACCACCATTAATTCATTCTTTCATTTACTCAGTGCCCTTTCTGTGCTTGACACACAGGTGAAATGCCTGCAGTTAAAGTATCTCCAAGATACTGTCTTAGCGAAACTCACCAGCACTCAGGGCTTCGCCTGTAAAGTGTCTGTCCCCGGAGAATTTCTCTAATTCATTCCTCTAACCTCATGGTGATATAATTTGTGACATAGTTACAAAGCCTATTAGGTCTTTTACAGATTTATGTCTCCTGTACATACCTACATTTTCATAATCCAGTCTTATTTGGGAATTACAGTATGTTGGGCAGTTTTGATGAGAAATGCATTTGATGTGAACACATTTTCCTTTATATTAGTTTTTCTAATTAAATATGTCACCTTGTCTATTACCATGCCGAATAGCGTAACATAAAATGAGTCATGTCATAAGACACTATTTGATATTAGTTATATTTTTCCTTTTGATTGTAAAAAATATATCTTTGTCTTTCTGATTTTTATTTTGGAAACAAATGTACAAACATAATAAAGGAAAAGAAAAATATAGAATACATTGCTGTGCTCCATAATGGGGATATATTTTTGTATTCTGCTTTTTAAGGTTATTCTTAAAAGAAGGGAAGTGTTTAAGAGACTGAGCAGCATTTTCTTCTGCTTAAGGAGACATTTCACAATTCTCTTTCCCCTTTCCCAGGCACAGCACACCCACGATGCTATCACAGAGGCCTCCCAGCTCATGAAGGAGGCCGTAGATGACATAATGGTGACACTGAACGAAGCTGCCAGTGAAGTAGGGCTGGTGGGAGGCATGGTCGACGCCATTGCAGAAGCCATGAGCAAGGTAGGTCCGGGCTTCCAGATACTCACCCTCCTCACTCCTTGACCCCATTTCCTCCTCGGTTTCCCTCAGGTGCTTTTCTCTAAGGAAATATCTGTCAAGGCTAATTCCAACAAGCTACCTCTTTCCTTGAGAGTTGCAATTAAAGTGCAGGTGTCCTATCATATGTCCAATATATTATTCGTTCTTTGTTTTCATTGATTACTTTGGTAAGCCAGTTGCACCCTTCCTTCCAATTTTACAGGGGGAAATGAATGGAAATGGAAATAATTATCTATATCCCCTGTCTACTTTATTGAGTTCTTGAGGGCAGCAAACTCCAAAATGAAATGATGAAGCAATTCTCAAGTTCTGGTCTTTGGAATGACAGGGAGTATTTTAGAATGCACATTCTGGGCCCTGTTCCAGCCCTACTCAGTTGGCATCTCTATGGGGTGGAGGCCAGGTAGCTCTCTTTGTTTTTTTTGTTGGTTTTTTTTTTTAGGTGAGGCAACCCTTGATTGACCTCACAGATTACAAGGACCTTGTCAGTTTATAATCCTTTTTTTTTTTTTATCTTTTACGCCTGCAGCACCTGGTCTTCCTAAGTGGGCTCCCATCCAAGTACTAACCAGGCCTGCCCCTGCTTAGCTTAGGAGATCAGACAGGATCGGGCTTGTTCAGGGTGGCATGGCTGTAGACTTTTTTTTTAATTTATTTTTTTTTAGGTGAGGCAGCCCTTGGCTAACCTCAGATTGCAAGGACCTTGTCAGTTTATAATCCTTTTTTTTTTTTATCTTTTACGCCTGCAGCACCTGGTCTTCCTAAGTGGTCTCCCATCCAAGTACTAACCAGGCCCAACCTCGCTTAGCTTCTGTCTCTTTGTATTTTTTAATTTTCCCCATGGTCTGGTATCTAGCCAGATGTAGAAGCCACTGAAGTAGTATGCCCATCAATTGAGTAGGGACTTATGAGTGGAGATAGTTTCAACTCTGTATCTTCTGCTCTTTCCCCCAAGGAATGCTTCACTAATCATGTCAGTTTGATAGTCATGAGAATTAACAATTGTTCATCAACATCTAATTGCCACCTTGTGATAGCATAGCCAATAATTTTAGACATTGTGTTTTGAAATGTCCATTGTCAGATTATGAATACATTCTTATGGTTTTTCAGCATAATAAACAGTCTTTAATTGCTAATTTAGAGAAGATTGGTTGGTTTGTATCTCCATAAAGAGATGAGAGCCTGAAACTATAATTAGGATAATTCCCCTTAAATATTGTGCAGTCATTATTAGACAATAAAGTCACAAGCCAGGCAGGGATGCTGGAGCTCCCTTTTGAGACCCCAGGCTCTGCCTTGTCAAAGTACTCCAGTAATTTCTGCCATGGGCTTCTCACAGTTCAGATAGGGACAATTTGGCAGGAAATGCATTAAAGTTTCCTTTTTTTTCTAGGCCCTTGGATAAGTCTCAGTGGATTTGTTTGGTTTTCAGGACATCAGAAAACCAGAGCTTAGAAAATAAGCCTTGCATCTACCATGGATATTAAATAATGGTGCTCAAGGTTTCTCAGTACAAATTAGAAATCCAAATGATAAACTTTTAATTCTCAGGAAAAGGGTTTTTTTGTTTTGTTTGCTTGTTTGTTTGTTTTTTCCACAACCACTCTAATGATAGGGAAGAGTTCCATAACTCCCTAAAAGACGGAAATCAGGTTCCTAAAGTCTTTTTTTTGATAGCCTCTGAGCCTTGCGTGCTGTGACGGAGTTTCAATAAGGAAAAGAGCTCTCGTACAATCTGATGTCAGTGATATAGATTCTTTTGGAAGGGCTGGGAATTAAGTCTGGCTGACCTGATAGCAATAATGAAGAACTGCAAACGACATGAGCCACAGAGGCCAGGAACAAAGGTTTATTTCCCTCAGTTCTGTAAAAGAGACAAGCAGGATTTCATTTGATACCCCAAAGTTCTCATCTACCCTAACCTGACACCCAAGGCGTACCACACCACGCTTTTTCCCCGTTCTCTCTTTACTCAGCCCACTCCAGCCTGCCCGTGCTGGTGACTGTATCAAGTCAAAGGCACTTCATGTCCTTTGACCCCCCAAGCAGCAAGGCATTAGAAATCTGGCATTTTCTATCTGAGTTTCAGTTATTTGGTTAAAATACTGATACACTGTTAGAATGATTGTTGAAAATTCTCAATGACAACGAGTGGCAGAAAAATGTGAATGTACCCAAAGCTGATTCTAACTCGCAATTCTTGACACTTTTGAGGTTTGTGGAGGTTTTTCTTAAGCGTCTCTCTCTCTATCTGAGTCCCAGAAAGTTTGGGGGCTACTAGGTTAATAGGAAATAATCAGCTTTCTGGGTGACCTTAGACAAATCTCTCAAGCTCTCTGAACTCTGGTATCCCCATTCAGTGATGTTAGTGGTTCTCAACCTTTGGGATTTTGTAATCCAGTAACTTTTCTTTGTATTTGGGGTGGAGGGAAGGGTGGAGATCATGGAAAAAAAAAAACTGAAACCAAATAACACTGCTATCTACATCACTATTTTCTCATAAAAGAAAGATCATGTTAACATCTAAAAACAATAGAAAGGCTATTATCTCAGAATAAAGGCAAGTTCTTTTAACTAAATAAATTTGAAAAATTTAAAACTATACCTCCGTTCTTACTTTTTTCATTGTCTTCAAACTAGTACAAGGTTCATCCTGGTGGCCGGTGGCTTGTGTATTCTAAGCGTCCCTCCAGCTCCAACATCCTGGCTCACAGTTACTCTACATCTCACATGAAGGCTCCGAGCACATCGCCTGACACTCAGAAGATGCCCAATCAGTTTATACTGAGTGTATGAGTCCACAACTCAATTCTCATCTGACCAGCAGGGTCTCTATTGTGTGATGGAGATATTCGGCAGCATCTATCTCCTTGATAAAGAAACCTAAAAAAAGTGATCTAGCCTGAAGTTTGTGTTTATGGTTTGGCTGTACAGATAAATCACACATAGGTTACAGCAATACATTCCTTCAACTCACATTGTAGCTTATGCCTGCTCATGATGTGTAGCTCTATTGTAAAAACTTCATTTAACATTTTCTTCTTGGCCTCTAGTCTCTTCTCTGACTGCAAGCTATCTGGCAGATCTGACAAAGAGAACTTCTCAAATGTGTCATTGCCTACCCCAAGTCCCATCATTTTTCCTCACAGTTTCCAGGCTCTTCATTAAACAGATTCAGGTTCGTGCCTACCATTCTCAACAGCCTCCTTCTGTTTACCATACTCACTCTTTCTGTTCACCTAATCTGCTCACCTGGAGTCTCATTCGGCAACCAGGGTGACAGTAATAATGATGTTGGCAAAGATGGGTTGCCTCTTTCTTTATCATAATCATCATCGACACTATCATCGTCATTATCTTCTTCTTCCTCATTCTCACAGTCATCTTCTTCCTTTGCATAGCTCTTGACCAGGTATAATTTTAGTTGATCTTTGCTTACAACCTTCTGATACTCGGAAGTTTCCAATGAAGGACGTGAGCCTCAGAGATTAAACAACCAGCTCGAGGCTCAGTCACAAGCCCTTGAACCAGGTCTTTCTTTGAACCAACACATCCCTAACCCTGCATGGGACAGAGCCATTGTCCCACTTCTCCAGCTCTTCTGCACGATAGTGATCTCATCCTTCTCTCAATTCCTGTTGTATATAGAGTCAGACGAGCGATAAATTATATCTAATGCTTCCAATATCTTCTCTCCCCCAGTTTAGATCAGAAGTGAAGGTTCCAGGGGATAGACGTCTGTGGGCTATCCCATTCCTATGGAAGCCCTTCACAATGTAGATTCTGCCTCCCAGTCCATGTCTATCATTCTCGCTTCCCTAGAAGTGTCCAGCTCACACCCACCTTTTTATTCTTGAACGCTGTTCCCTCTCTTTGGGACACTTTTCCCACCTTGTGTATGTAGCAGACGCCTCCCTTGGAAAGACTTGACCAAAACATTCCCCTGGAGAAAGCACTCCCAGCCCTCTCAGGCAAGGCCGGGAGCCTCTCCTCACCTGTGCACCCCGAGTGCCTTATGTGCACCTCTACTGAAGTCTTTGTCGCAGGAGCTGGTGGGGATCTGTCGACTTTGGGCCAAAGAAACTCCGAGGGCCTCTCCACTTTTCAAAGTTCCTAATTCTGATAAATACTGTCCACACGTCTAAGGGCCTCTTCTGACCTTTGGGTTCTTTTCCTCTCCTCTGTAGCTGGACGAAGGCACTCCTCCAGAACCAAAGGGAACATTTGTCGACTATCAGACAACGGTGGTTAAATATTCCAAAGCCATTGCGGTGACAGCTCAGGAAATGGTAAGAAGAAAAAGAACTGCCCCACCCACCGCCAGTTGCCCTTTTATCCACGCCCGTCACTGAGTCTTCCATTCTGGGGTCTATGTGGGAGAGATTAGTCTGTATTTCTAGCCCTCCTGGGCCCCAGCTCCTATCCTTTATCTGTGGTCTCTTTGCCTGTGTCTAGAAGCCCCAGCCTGCTGGACTTATCTTGTGAAAAGGCTGCAAGAGGGAATTCAAGATGACCGAGACCTGGGCATGAGGACAAGGGAGCAAAGGAAGGAGAGAAAATGAGAATCAAAAGGAAATGAGATAGAGGTTGGGAGTCAGAGAAAGAAAACTCCCATTCACCTCATAAAGGAATTGAGGTGTTTTTATAGATTAAAATTACAGTACAAGAGAAGACATTTGGAGATAGAACAGAGATCGACGGAATCAAATTATAATACTTGAACAATAAGGTATTGCCCGTCTTTCAGGCAAAATGAAACGGCAAGGTTTTGTAAAAAATATATTTTTTCCCTAACAACAGAAACGTCCAATATATTATTCGTTCTTTGTTTTCATTGATTACTTTGGTAAGCCAGTTGCACCCTTCCTTCCAATTTTACACAGTGGGGGAAATGGAAATGGAAATAATTATCTATATCCCCTGTCTACTTTATTGAGTTCTTGAGGGCAGCAAACTCCAAAATGAAATGATGAAGCAATTCTCAAGTTCTGGTCTTTGGAATGACAGGGAGTATTTTAGAATGCACATTCTGGGCCCTGTTCCAGCCCTACTCAGTTGGCATCTCTATGGGGTGGAGGCCAGGTAGCTCTCTTTGTTTTTTTTGTTGGTTTTTTTTTTTAGGTGAGGCAACCCTTGATTGACCTCACAGATTACAAGGACCTTGTCAGTTTATAATCCTTTTTTTTTTTTTATCTTTTACGCCTGCAGCACCTGGTCTTCCTAAGTGGTCTCCCATCCAAGCACTAACCAGGCCCAACCTCGCTTAGCTTCCAAGATCAGACAAGATCAGGCATGTTCAGGGTGGCATGGCCGTAGACTCTTAATTACTTTTGTAATTCCTTCTGAGATAACTGGTCAATTGGATTTTCTACTTCTTTTTGAATTTTGGTAATTTATATTTTGCTGAAAATCCTCCCTTTCCTTGACATTTTCAAATGTGTTCCTATAGAACTGTAGATAGTATTCGCTAATTAATCTTTTAATTTCTTCTGGTATGTGATTATTCTCTTTTTCCGTACAAATCTTGTAATTTTTTGCTTTCTCTATTTTTCTTAAATAGAATTTTAGACTTTGCTTTTTCGTTAATCTTTCCAGAGAATTTTTTTTTTTTTGGTTTATTTTGTGTCCTTTTTCTAATGTCTTAAGTATTAAGTTACTTAATACTTGATATCTTAAGTAGTATTTTTAATTGATATACCATACCAGAAAATTCACACTTTTAAGGTGTACAATCCATAATTTTTAGCATACTCACAAAATTATGCAACCATTAAATTCCTTTAGTTTTTATCTCTTCTTTAGAAATGAATAAAGTAATTCATTCTCTTTTGACTACAACTTTAATTTTGTCTTGAAGGTTTTGGTAGAGATTCTATCCTTTTCATTGCTTCCTGGTTATTTTGTCATTTGTTTTGACTTGCCTTTTGATCCAAGGATTATTTACTAGGGCATTTCTTAATTTTTAACTTAAATTTGTTTATCTGTATACCTTTCTATATTTTCCAGATTCTTTAAAATGAGTATGTGCTACCTTTACAACTAAGGGAAAAATTTTTTTAAGTTATATTTAAATCTTTTATCCACCTAAAATTTATTTTTGAGACAAGAATGCAATAGGAATCCACTCCACTCCCAAATAGGTAGTTGTTCCAATAGTACTTATTAAATGATTCCTACTTTCTCACGGAATTTTATTACATTTGTTGTAAGTGAATTTCCTTATATGTTTGGGTTTATTTCTGAACTCCATTCTGTTCCACTGATGTCTGTATTTTACCTTTCTGGTATCAATAGGAAAAGCTTGGTAACTTTAAAATGTGTTTTAATATCTGATAGAATTAATCTCTCATCTTTATTCACAATTTTCTTGGTTATTGTTACATTTAATTTTTCATAAGGATTTTAGTACCTTTAATTATGCTCTGAAGAAAAAACCCATTGGTAATTTAATTGGAATTGAATTACATTTGTAAATTTTAAAGAATTGACATTTCTACAATATTGAGTGATCCTAATTAAGAAGAAATATTTTCTCATTTGCCTAAGTAATTTTACATCCCTTTGTAGAGTTTGAAATTTTTCTTCATATAGGTCCTACCCATTTCTTCTTAAATTTAACCTAGGCATTTTATTCTGTTTTTTATTGTAAATTAAAAGTTTTCAGTTATATGTTCCAAACCATTATAATTTGATATAGTAAAGCTATTAACTTTTGTATATTAGTTTTTCCTTATTGAATTTTCTTATTGTTTCTAATAGCTTTTCAGTTAATTCTCTTTGGGTTTGCAAACAATAATATCATTAACAAATAATAATAATTTTGCCTTCTCTTTTCCAGTACTTCAAATTTTATTTCTTGCCCTTATCTAATTGCACTGGCTAATAAATCTAGAATAATGTTAAATAAATGTGGTGATACTGGGCATTTGGGGCTATTTCTAATGTTGCACTATTAAGCATAGTAAAATTACAAAAGTGATGCATGCTCATTTTGCCAGTTTAGTACATAACCTAGAGGCTTTTTTTTTTTCTTTTTAATGCCTGGCACATAGTTGATATTTGATAAATGTTGACTTTCACTATGTTAATACATATTTACACACGGAGATACATCGTAAAGGATAATGCTAAATAGAAAAGACACTAAAAAACTTTTACTGAGCATTACCTATGTGCAGAGCAGCTGGCCTAAACCTCCTTAACAGCTCTTTTGGCATCTAAATCCTACTTGGAGTTGATTTTGACAGCATGCAATCATGGAAAGAGAACTGCAGTGGGAGTGTGAAGACCCAGGTTCTAATTCTGTCTCTGCCACTACTAATTTGATGACCTTCGGAGGTTCTTAACCAATAGCGTTCAGTTACCCAAAAGGAGAGACAACTTGGGTGAAGAAGAGGCAGTCTTAGAATTCATTTGGGAAAAGACCTTCAGTTACCTTTCGCCGTCCATCCCTCACCAACATATAACGGGAGGGCTTATAGATGATACCCAATAGACGGAACAAAGA